TTGCACCGAAACAACAGCTGGAGGACCACTGTTTGACTCGTACAGCAAGCTGCACGACGGACTCAGGACACACGAATGGCGTGCCGTTTCCTACACCTAGACCACCTGTTGCCAGGACGACTACCATCCTTGTGTTACGCCTGAAGCCACACAGGGACAATTCTTATCCTCCGTCTTAAGATGCTAGCCCTTCTTTTGTGTCTCACTAATCCGGACAGTCACATCTTCATACACCTAAGCATCGTCGTACATTGTGCCCTGAGGTACAGTATTCAACTCAGTCTTAGTATTCGTTCCTTGTACAATGCTAACTGCCCTGCCTGAGGCCTCTGGCTGATGCTGAGGCTGCTGGGCGCAGGTAGAGTGGCGTGTGTGCGACCACGAGCCCACCACTGATGGCGGCTTTCTGCACACTGCACATGGATGCTGGACAGCACCTACGCGGCTCTCCTCCGCCACCTCTCCTCACGTGACCTAAAGTCCCCCCGGGCCCGCCGGCCCTTGCCGATGCCTAGTCCATGGCAGACGTAGGTCCTGCGTTTTCCGGCCATTTTCGCACGTAACTGCCAACGCAACACCTGGTGGAACCAACTGCGTCCCGCAGCCGCCGTCGCACTGCACCCAGTCCCACCTGGATAACACACAACACACACACACACACATACAGGAACAAATGTGAGTACAATTAAAGCCCCAGTGAGGCAGGAGCCGCTTGAGCTTCTATAGCTGTGACATATAGAGCTGGCAGGAATGATGTCATACTTGTAGCGCCGACCCAGAAGTTAGCATAACCACATGAACCTACAAACAAGGCAAATGGGGTCATTTAATATGCGATTTTGGAATATAAAGAAAATAAAGCTCTTGTGGCAAACATGTTTATTAACCTTACCACGTAGAACTATAAAATATAACTACACGTCCAAGCTGTCTTCAAGTCCACCCACTGATGATTAAACGGTGGCTTAATGTTCCCGGGGAGTAGTACTCATGTAGCCACTTGTTAGTAACGGCCCTCGACATTCAGCATCGTTCAAAAAACTTCCAACGCTTTCTCTGCCCATTGACTTTAATGGGGTGACGTGACCTTTGCCTCGCTTTTCGCCGAACTGGCCATTGTGGGAATGCAAAGCGAAGAATTCCAGGATTTCAGGATTCAAAAGTTGAGCAATGTTCCAACTTTAAAGCTGAAGGTGAAGCCGTACAGCCAATCAATCCCGTCTATGCCAAATCTGCGACCAGACACAGCGCTAGCCAACTCAAAATGAAGTGCAAGCGGGAGAGCCAGTACCCGCAGTTCCATTTCTATATTCGCCTGAAAATGGAGGAGAAAATGAGTTATTGCGGTAAGCAAATCACCACATCGGTTCTTTATGATCAGTCGCATAATAACTTACGGGATACAAACCGGTAGGAACCAGGCAATGGAGGGAGGTCGGCAGAGACAGTGGGTGAAACTGGTAGGTTTTTGCCTGTTTGGGGATTTTATATCCAGTTTACTTCGTTTTAACATTGCTATTGCTTTGTATGTCGGGGCGGGAGATTCATGTGATTGATTGTTGCTCGCAAAAAATCCCCAAGCTTTCAGACACGCCCAGCTCCAAGATTTTCAAGATTTTTTTTAAAGCTGCTGTGTGGATAACCGTTTAGAACAGTGGTTCCCAACCTTTTTTCCCAAGAGCCCCCCCAAATGACTCCTCTGTCTTTTTATGCCTATAATAGACTACTAACTTGAATTTGTATTCAAATTAATTAATCAATTATTTTTTATATTTTATTGTAATGTATAGACAAGGCTTTTAGTGAAAATCACGTATTACGTTACAATTATATGTAAAAAATAAAAATAAAAATAAATTAAAAAATCTAAATATGATATTTGGCCTCAGATCATCTGAGGCCTGGCGACCCCCCTGCGATCTGTGGCGCCCCTTATTTTTGTCGTAAAACACGTGAAAATCTCCTAAACTTGAGTTAACCATAGACCTTATTTCAGGCTTCTACCCTTAAATTAATTTAAACTAGGTAAACCTGAAAGAGCTAAAATGCTAACTCATATCAGGGTTATGGACATATTCCTGCACCACTTTATTTTCCAGAGACGCTGAATATTTGAGGGGTATAGTTAAAAGAGCGATTTAAATCAAATCCATTGCATCTGATTGGACTGCCTAAAAGTGGGCGGGCTTAAAATATTGGTTGCTCCACACACACGTCCTTATAGCTGCAGATTAATCGATGGACAGATATTACAAATGTTTTGGTTGAAGTTTGTTGGTACTAGCTTACATAATCCCATGTCATGTATTGTTTTACAGGAGAGGAAAACAATTGTTGGGATAAAAAAAATACAAAAAAGAGGATTTTTGTTGTTGTTGTTGTGGGGAGCAAAATATGACCATGGATACCGATAAGGGGTAATAATGCTTTTTTTTTAAAAAAAAAAAAATTTAAATCCTCATTTTAAGATGGGCCACTCAAAGGAAACATTATGACAATTATTCCAAAAAAAAGCATGTGGCACAAAATTCAGGAAAACATGTGGGTAATTTTTTACCAGCACACGTTAAATCTGCAAGTCAGTCATTATTTGGTTGATCTAATGTACTAGAGTAAACTGGTCAAACACTGATGCACTGTAGATGATCTTGTGTGTTATACACCACTAACCGTGAGTTGTGTAGAATAACAAAACTAACTGAACTAAAGTGCACTTTTAAAATGAATAAATATCACATACGTTGGAATGTGAAAAAGGAAACAGCAGAGGTAATACTCTGCATGTCAATAATACCGCACGACTGTAAATCATCCAAACATCAGGTGTTGTCAGTTCCAGTTAGGAGCGCCTCCTTCCTTATTTCACCATCTCCACCCCACCCACTGAGGTACAAGCCAACAAGTTCCTCCGCTCTGATTGGACGGAGCCTGGCCACTGGTTAACACTGGTCGGAAAAGTGTCGGAGCGCAGTGCTGTCTCAGGACAGCATCAATGTGTCCTGTTAATACGTGATGTGTAACTCTCTTTAAGGTGTTCCAGTGCGGTTATCAGCTGTTGATATTCAATAACGTTCCATGAAGTTCATTTTGAAAAGTGTTTGTTATTAACTCAGCAAACAAACGGAACTGGTGTCATCCGCCTCCAGACACCCAGGTGTTTACAGCAAACGTCCCGTGATGGAAGCGTCAACCAGAATGTTCTGCCTTTCTCCCTTGTTAGTCGGGGATGTAACTACAAGGGTCACATTTGAATATGGCATTATGACTTTTGTTTCTATGCTTTTATTTAGTCAGTCTGCACCTGGTGGGGTTACATAATGCAGATTAAATGCATATTAAAGAGACTGCTAGTGGGAGCAACTTAAAGGATACTATTATGGTAGAAAAGATATAAGAGAATGTAAAAATAAAAAAATAAAAGTACTTTTATGGAGAAAAATCACTGCATCAGGGAGTATTATTACACCTTTGAATATAGAGTGAGCTTTTGAATTAAAAGGGGATGTGTGAAAAGTCAATGTTAAAGCCCAGCCTCCTTCACTTGTGTGTTATAACAAGTTTCTCTAATGTTTATCTGTGGTTGTCTAAACGTGAATGACTAGAAATGAGTATGTTAACTTAATTCTAAATTGACGATAGAAATTGCTAAACATTTTGAGATAAGAGCTAACAAGATGTCTAAATTGATTGATTAGTTGTTAGAAAGAAAAGAAGATTGGCCCCTTTTGCTACTTTAGGGTAAGGATTTGCCATTTCTCTCTATATTACAGCACTGCAAACCAGAGTTTGAGACGGTTGGTTAGACTTAAAGGCAATTCGGAAAACTGCATTCGGCAATTTATAGCCCAAATTAAAATAAGTGCAAGACTATGCAGTCATGTAAGGGAGGTTGTGGCTCAGTGGATGGTGCGCTGATCTTCGGATCACGGGGCCACTGGTTCGAATCCCGCTGCAGTCAAACATTCCGCTGTGTCCATGGAAAAGACACTTCACCCCAAATTGTTCCTCTGGGGATTGCCCACAGTATTGAACAAGTCGCTTTGGATAAAAGTGTCTAACAAGTGACGTGTAATGTAAAAAATTATAAATTGCAGCATTTTTGGACTAAATGTGAAATGAGTCGGCAAATTGTCATACCGAATAATGTAGAAAAAATGTGCCTATATTGATAATCCTGAGATAATTATTATTTACTATTCCAAATTCCTAGTAAATACATTTCTTTAAATTAATATTCAGGGAAAAATAGATTCCAAAAATACAGAACTTTAAAAAAAAAAAGTGCTAAGTCACATTGCGGCCTATGACCTCTGTTAATTACTAAACTGTCGCTGTGTTTATCATTCATCTACGATTCCCACTTTGTGCCTCTTCGACTGCAACACACTCCCAATGCTTAGTGCTGAGACTGTGAGAAAAGCCGCTTTCTCAGAACCAGAATGAGGGGAGATATGTGTCCCTGAAGGAGTCCTCACCTTATCTTTGCAGGGTCTCTGGCAGTTCTTGGCGGCGCACACAGCGTTCTCGTCGTTGGAGTCCTCCGCCCCGGACCAGTCGTACTTGGAGGGAATGTCGAGGATCTTCTTCTCCTTCCTCTTCTCCAGCACGTCCCTCATGGCCTCTGCCTTGGCCACCAACTTCTCCTTCCTCTTCCTCTCCTTCTCCTCCTTGACTAAGCGCTTGGCGATCTGCTTCATCTCACGGTTCTTGTCCATGTTGAGCTTGAGCTTCTTTTTCTTGGGTTTAATCCCAAGTCCCATTTCCAGACCCACCCGTTTCAGCTCTTTGTTCTTGCCTGGCCGCATCTCGCCCATCACTGAACCTCCACCTGCGGCAGCGGCGGCGGCCATCAGCATGTGGTGGTGCTCGGCCCGCTCCAACTTCCGCTTCCTCTTCTTCTCCGACTCTTTCAGCTTGAGCTTCAGAGGCTTATCCATCAGAGAGTCGTCAGGCTGTGGGAAGGGAAGACATTAGATAACTGTTTTCATTTCAAATGTTGCATGATTTTCTTTCATTTGAGCCGTATGCATCTATTCAGAAAAACCCTTAAAAAGGTCCCCTATTATACCGTTTTTCATCAATACATCACAGGTCTCAGATATATACAAAACATGTCCTTGAAGATCATTGCAGCATTACCCATAATCCCCTCTGTTTCAGCCCTGTTTCAAAAGTGCTGATTCTCTGTCTGTTACTTTAGATGAAAATAAGGAGCCCCTCCCCACGCCCCTCTGAGAGATATTTGGTTAAAAAGAACACAATGGTCTAGGAGGAGATTCAGGTGATAAGGTGGGGGGGGGGTTACCTTGGTTGGCGATTGGCTAAAGGCCCGGACACGCCAATCTGAAAACAAAGAACTGACACAGACGGACCCCGACTGTTGCGTCGCGACGGCCAAGAAGCACGTACGAACTGCGCATGCGTGAGTGAAGATGGGTTAATGGTTTTGTTGGGTAAGAAATGACTATTTATGAGGTGAAGCTCGGTGGCCAAGTAAAAACAACTAAGAGAGACTTGATTTACGAAGTTAGTAGAGTGGTGAGTTGGTAGGTAGATCGCATAAGTCGTGAGCTCGTCCTTCGTCGGTCCTCTGGACGCCGAGGGGAGCGTCGGAGCCTCGGGCGGCCACTCCGACCTCGACAAGGGAGCGTCTTGTGCGGCTTGCTTCCGCGTCGACCTCCTGCGATTACTGACGACCCTCTTGACGACCTCCACAGGCGACCTTAAGGGCTGGGTCGGTAGACGCTCCTACGGGACGTCGGTGTGTCGGGGGCCGCAGACTCCTCTCTAAGTGGACCGTCCGAGTAGGGACGCGCCGATCGCGCATGCAGGGCGTAGAATGGACGGTGTGGACGACGCGCGTCGGATCTGGGGGGGGGTGGGGTCCCTTTGACGACCTCAGCACAGGAGACCGGAACCCCAATGGTGGAGGGTGCGCGGTGAAGACGAATGGTTCCGGAGTGGATATGATAGTTTTTACGTGGGAAAAGTACAGAAAATATGGGTGATTTGTACATAGGGAGGGACACATTTGCTCTAAGACTAGTAAAGTCCTTTTCTAAGCTAGAGACGAAAAGACAGGACTAGGTAGACTTTTCTTGCTCCCGACTACGTCTAAACCGTCCGAAAGTACTAGCAGTACTTGCTTACAAAAGCCGAACAAATTGTGCGTAACGGGCCGTTTGTGTGTTGTGCCTGTCGTGGTCCCGGCTGAATAGCCGCACGCGCACCCGGCAGTCAGTGCTGCCCGTCAGCCCGTTTTTGTCTTTAGGTGTATGGACTGAGACGCGAACAATCGATCGCTTACGTCACGTACTCTTTCGCTGCCTTCACTTCCCTGGGGTTTGTTTGATTAATCTGCCGTTTAGACTGCTAAAGTAAATTGAGGTCGAGAGCTGTTTCCTAAGCCTGCTTGTGGGGTACTCGAAGGAGCGACATCTCACTTTTACCTTGTTGATAAAACAAAACAAAAACAAATTTTTAGTGGTCCGTCAGACAAGAAGAAGAGAGCAATAAGTGCGTCATAGCAGAAGCCAACAAGACCGGAGAAAACTTACTGTTACTGTGTGATGGGGTGTCGGCGACGACATTTGCTC